GCGCGCGGGACGGCGGCCCCGCCCCGCACGACAGCCCCGCCCCGGGCCCCGCCGCCGCCGCCTCGTCCGAGTCGCCCGACATCGCGCCCGCGCACAGTCCCGGAAAGCCTGTCGAAAAACTGTAGTACTCAAACCTAAGCCTTCGCGGGACGCCGCCCGCGCCCGGGGGGAGGGGAGAAGAAAAGGGGGAGAAAGGGAATGACTTGGAGGGCGCACCGCCGCACATCACCCGCCAGGCGCCGCCGTCGACCCGGAAAAAGGGGTATTCAACATATCGAACTTTAGAACTGCGTTAAGGTTGAACCTATACAATTACTCCTATACGGGATCCTCTAATTAGTTGTTATTGCTATGATTTCTTTTTCTTTTTTTTTTAAAACGTGTGGCTCCGTAAAACCGGCCGGCCTTGCTTATAAGACACGATATCATCGATGCATCGGACCTCAATCTGCGCGGTGGCCTCCTCAAAAGTGGGAAGCTTCAGGTCACCCTCGCTCGGCTCTTCCGAAGCCGCCTCGGCGTTCCCCGCGCGCTTGGGTGGGAGTTTCACGGTGAACGTTTGACCCCCCGCACCTTTCGCCGTGAAGGGGTTCGACGCGGCGCAGCGCGCGCTATCAACGACCGCGACAATCCCCCGAACGCGAGTTCGGCTGTTCAAGATGTAGGAACGGAAAAACCCCTTTAACTCGTCGGCCGAAATGGATCGCACCGACGCGATCTGCTCGGCTCGGTTGGTCAGCCCGCTGGTGCTCTTGTAATCGTTTTCTAACGATTCCGCATCGCAATAGACGGAGTCGGGCAGCTTTTCGAGCGACTGAATCAGGCCCGTCGACAGATCCTTCACGTCGTTCTCACCGCAAATAAGCTCCAGATCGTGCGCGACCGAGGACAAAAAGGCAGTGATACGCGACAGGAGGTAGACCGAATCCACATCCTCAAGCGCGCTTTGAACCGAAAAAATCAAATGCGCACTCTCGTTCGTGATGACATCCCTGCAGAAAACCACATATCCGAGAATTTCCTTCGTTCGTAGCGCATCGAAGAAGCGGGGATAAAGTAGTTTCGCCGCCATTTTGGTGAGAACCTTGTTCCGTGCCGTGGCGACCCCCGTGCAGATATCAAGGGTGACGACCACATTGGGATTGGAGGAAGTAAACGGGGGGTAGGCCATCACATCCAGGGCGGTTAGAACATCCAAGGGTGGACTCGCCGCATCGCAAGTGAAGTCCAGCGAATCACGGAAGCGTGGAATCGAGTCGGGAGCCAGCACGGAAGACGCCAAGCGGGAAAGCGTTTCCTCAATTTCAGTCGCCACCACGCGTTGAATTTCGTCCGCGCTCGGGACATTTCCCGCAATAAAGCATTCATAGCGAAATCCGGAGCCAAGATACTGCGTTAGAAAGTCCTTGTAACCCTCATACGAGGCGGACGACGCCACCTCCAGAATATCCTCAAACGTAAATAACAAGGAATACGATACCTTCGAGAGTTTTTCCATGCATAGCTCATATGGCTGCGATGTCTTTTTGCTCTCAAGTTTTCGCAAATATTTTTCGGCGTAGTCGCTGTATTTCTCCCTGGTGCCCGTCAGCGCCTCGGCGTCGAATAGTTTGACCAAAATATCATGAAAGAAACGCATCAGATGCTGGTAGGGCCCACAAATGGTGATGCCCACCCCCCCAGGGGCCGGGACCAGGTCATTCGACAGGGATGCCAACTCGCCGTAGTAGCTCAGCTCGGCCAGCGCGTCTTTTAGGATCGCGCACGCGATCTGCCCGTACATCCGGTAGAGAGGGGACCGGTACGAGACCGGGGAAAGAATCCCCAATCGAATCGCGCACGTGAAGGTGTGGTGGTGGCCATGATCCTTTCGCACGACAATCGTCCCGTTCGGGGGCGTGTAGGAGACCGCCTTCGACGCCGCGTCGCCCGCCGGGGCGAACACGGTGAAATCGGTGGTTAAATATGGGTTCGAGGTGGGTAATTGGAGCTCGCGGGGGTAGGGCGGGTGGAGGGCCCGGGCCCAGGCGTCGATATCGGCGGCCGGGATCGACATCTGGGCGTACGCCGCCTTGTGAAATCGGGTCAGTTTGTCCACACAGTTCTGCGCAAAGCCCGGGAGACGTCGAAAGAGCGCATCCGCGGAGGTGGCCCCCTCCCCCTCGGGTTGGGCAAGCGCCTCCTCTTCCTCCTCGGCAGAGGCGACGACGGCGGGGTCCGTTTTCGCCGCCTTGATTTGATCCGAAACAGGAAATTCGGACCACTTGAGCATCACCATGCCATTTTGGGGGGTCAATTGTTTGGCATAGTCCAGGCACGCCTCATAGTTGTCCTCCAGGACCACTTGAGATCCGATCCAGGCGTGCTTCACATCACACATCATCCCCGACATCGCCAGGTTGATGCAATGCGACGTGGGGCTGTTTATCTCGCATGACTCGAACTGCAAGGCTTCCTCGCTCTTCATTTGCTCGAAGACATCTTTATGAATGCCCCCCTGAATCGCCTGCCCGATCGAATGGTAGATCAGCCGCATGATCTCGTGTAGATGGCCAAACCCTTTTACCGTGAGGGTGACCTGGACAAAGAAGTATTCAAAGTCGTCGTCCACCCTTCTCGCCCCGGCGACCATGCCGGTGATCAAACCGCGCGATTTCAACACCCCGAAGGTGGAGCTATCGCACTCGTGGCCCATGATGTAGGCGATATAAGACGAGGGCACCGACCGCCAGAGCGAAACGGCCGAGCGGACGGGCCACGTAATCGACAGCAGACGCGATTTCTTGAGCGTGCGAAGGTTCACCCACGAGGGCATCAGGGACTTTTCCACGAGGGAATCGCCCTCCGCGATAAAATGAAACGAGGCCGGGCCGCCTGCCCGCATCCGCATTAGCGGGGGCTCGATCAGTTTTAGGACGTCCTCGTGGGGGTGCGCGCTGTACACCACGAGACAGGACGCCCCGGAATGATAGTACCGGGCGTAAAATTGTAAGAGCTCGTCTCGAAGATCAAGGTTCTTTTGCTTCGGCTCCTCCACCAATGTCGTGAGGTTGCCATTTCCGTATCGATAGCGTGGGTGCTTGGGGTTGAGGAGGCTGCGGATTAACTCGTCCACGCGCCATTCATCCACGTTGTGGTTCTTTTCATCTTCGCTGTGCACCGCCTGAACTTCGCGCTCCACCGCACCGGCGTTGAAGCTGGGGGCGACAAAAAATTCCAGAAACCGGTCGAGCGAGCCCGCAAAGCCTTCCTCGCTCACTTGATAATAGTAGACGGTATCGGAGTCTGCCGTGAAGGCGTTGTAGAAGCCGTTATGCCTTGAAATATACAATTCATACTCGTCCTCTTTGGCGAACTTTTTAGTGCCCATAAACAGCATGTGCTCACAAAAGTGCGCAAGGCCTGGCATGCACTCTGGGTCGTTAAGCTGTCCGGCGTGGATGCACATCGCGGCGACCGGCATTTTGGCGCTTTGGTCCTGAATAATAATGCACCTGACGCCATTCGGCAGGACGTATCCAACATGCTTTGCACGGGATGATTTGGGTGCGATAATATTAATGATAGATTTGGACATGTGAAAAGGCTCGCTTGGTTAAATAACTTGGCCAAAGGAAAGCCCAGGACAATTGAATTCTGTATAGATAGATTGATCCCCGTGCGTGTATGTGCGTGTCGGGTGATGAAGAGTAAACAGGAAAAGAAGAAATTGACAGACAAATGGCAAACTATAAGCGTTTGAAATGCTCCAACTCAAAATTCATCCTTTAGATATCGATCTATATTAAGATATTCGATTTGACGTACAAGCAAAACAATGGAAAAATTATGCCTTTCCGCCCCATTCTTCAAATATTACGTGCAAAAGGATCAACACTCTCGGCGGGATGAGGATTTGCTTTTCGGTGCATGTCTACAGCCCATTTGAATTCCGTATCGTCGTCCTGGGTCGCATCACGCGACGCCAAGTCGTCATCAGCGTGCAAGTCCTTCCTCGTTCGCCCGCCATTGCCCTTGGCGCGATTAGGAAAACCCCAAAGCAAAGAAAAGCGAACCACTACAAAAAGAAAACACCACACCATGCAGAGCCTGAGAATCGTCTGTGTATGGCCTGAAACGTAGTTTTCGGTGGTGGAGCCTGGCCTTTCGTAAACGTAGGTCCGCATCTTGGCATCCCACCCGTAGGCCCCAGGCTGGGATGTTTGGGCCGTCGGCTCCGCCGCCGGCCGCCATTTACCGCCTTCCACCGCCTTGTATGCCTCGTGAACGGCCGCAAAGCGCTCCGCATTGCCATCCGGGCCTCCGTCGGGGTGGTATCGGAGGGCCAATCGATGATAGGCCCGCTTGATTTCGTCCTTCGAGGCCGAGGGATCGACGCCGAGTATTCGATATGGATCGAACGGCCCACTGCCGGCGGCAGCCGCGAGCCGCGTTAGGGTCATCTTGTACATTGCTAAACCGTAAATGCAGTTTGTGAAGTAGAAATCAAGGCACAGCGGATAATTCAATAGAATACATTCAGAGCCTCGACAGGGATTATTAAGAATAAATCTTGCTTTTTGATTCAGTTAGAATATAGCTCCACAGGTAAGGATCGGCAGTACAAGTTTAAAAGGGTGAACAAAGTCAAAAGACGACGTCATCCGGGACGAACGACGGGTTCAGTGAAAAAAAAGGTGCCATCACTTGCAAAAAGACGCACAAAACGTCCCCTCGTCGACCATCTAACCTACCGCAAGCCATCAACCCGGAGGTATCGCAGGGATGAACCGCATAAACCATCGTCTGAAGGTCATCCACGTAGTGGTAACTCACCAGTGGTCGCTGGGACTCCAAAACCTGTGATGCGCCTTGCGTTGTGATGTTTGTAAAGAGTAATCGCGGTAAAAACACATGAATCCGCGAAAGGTTTTCCCAAGCGGCCGCTGAGAAGCAAAACTGCGGAAACGAGTAGCTCTCGTTGTAGACCACATAGAGATGCACTAAAACCTCAGATCCGTCTTGGTGCATGAGCCGATGATGGCCCTCGAGCCACGTAATAGGGCCCTTCAGATCGTTTATCCTCTCCTTCACCATCCACGCATAGCTACCAGATCGGAATCGATTCGCTAACGCATTGAACTCGGATCGGGAAAGCATGGAGGAGGCGTTTTCGCTACAGACATGTATACGTTTGTTTATAAAATGTGTAAAATCACATTCTTTAGATTGAAACTGAGGAATTGCAGATGCTATCGCATTGTGCGCAAAGACAAATATGAAGAAAAAGACAGGTCGGTAAACACAAACCATAATGCACATAG